ACAGAGCAGAGCCCTGGTGGGGATGAGAGGGACTCCATCCAGAACTTGCCATAGTGATGTCTTATACAGAGCTGACCCCACACATGACTGTTGAGTGTTTGGAATGTAGCCAGTGCTGTTGTGGGACTACATTTTAATTTTATTATGTTTTAATGGATTTAAATGTAAATAGTTCCCTGTGGCTGGTGACTGTTTTTGGACAGTGTGGGATCAGAAGCGGTGGGCTTTAAGTGAAGTGTTTGGGAGCAGGTGACATCCTTGCCTCGTCCTGGCTGGGTGGCAAGGCGGGAGGACCCTTCCTGTCACCCCATGCTCCTGCAACTTGCCCCACATGGAAATGCTGTATGCGTTCTCTGTGGCTGCCTGTGTGGGCCTGAGCTGCCTTCCAGTGACCCTGCATGGGTCAAACAGACACAGTGGTAACTGGTGACTGAAAACTCTAGATGTGAGAGACTGTAGGGACTCCAATGGGGATGCCAGCCTGAGGAGGCTTCCTGGAGGAGGGGGCAGGATGAAATTAGATTGGAGTAGAGAGGCAGCCAGGGCATGGGCAGGTGGCTGGGCCTTGGAGCCTAGTCCTGGACTCTCCTGAGCAAGGATGATGCTGGAGCAGGGCAGAAGCATGGGTTGAGTCTCACTCGACTTTTAACGGCTATTATAACATTGGGAGAATCCCTGTTCCTCTCCTCCATGTGAGATGAGAGCCTCTGCTGGTGAGCACTGAGAAGGGAGACCGATATTAACTAAGAGTTTTCAAATCCTGCTGGCCCAGAAAAAGTGGAAGGCTTACTCCTCAAGGGTGCCAGCCCCTGACCTGGCCTCTCAACAGGACAACAGATGGTCACAGCTTGGCTGTGGCCCTGACCGAGGACACAGACAGGGATTCTTCGCTGTCCCCTCCCCCAGCTCGTGTGTGTGCACACAAGGCCCAGATGGGGGCCACTTGGCCAGCTTTGCTCTGGCTGACCCCCTGCTGTTTGGCATTTGACATATGAGGAGGCCAGGGGCAGTACCCCCCACACCCCCACCCTGGAGAGGAGCCAGGCTGGCGGGGAGGCCTCACTACCTCCAGGAAGCAGGGTCCCAAGGGCCCTGATCTCTTTACCATGTGTCCATGGCCTTTGATGGGAATTCCATTGCCCCCTTTGTCTTCTCCTGGAGGTCTGTGGGAGGGGAGCAGAAGACATGAGAGAGGAGGCTGGATGGGTCCCAGGGGCCTGGGATGGGTGCTGAGCCCTTTCCTCTGGTGTTCTCAGAGACACAATGCCCTCGCCATCCATCTCTGGCTTCTCTTGCCATCCTACCATCTTAGTGAGACACTCCCATTTCCTTATATGGAGACAGAGGTAATTTTGGGCCTCTTTGTCCGACCCCCATCTATCCATCCATCCATCCATCCATCCATCCATCCATCCATCCATCTTCCCATCCTCCCATCCTAAAACCTATCAAGAACTTACGGTATGCCAGGCACTGTCTTAGCTGCTTGCGAGTGAACAGGGAGGACCACAAAGCCCCTGCTCTCATGGGGCTTCTTAGTGGTGCCACAGAGGACAAAGTAGAAGATAGCTCCTATAGGACGAGGCTGGCAAGAACATCAGGATGAGGGGACAGTGTGTGAAATGAGGTGATAGCTGAGTTGTGAGGGTGCTCCCAATACAATTGCAGGGAGAATGAGTGTCCTTGGATAGGAGGACCAACAGGTGAGGGAGTGACAGGCAGGACTTATGGAAACAGATCTGTTAGGACTGGTCAGGCCTAAGAATTCCAGCTTTTAATCTAAGAGGAGTGGGAGCCATCAACACTTATGGGTCAAAGAACTGGGGCAATGGCTCAGTCTTGCAATTGTGAGGACCTAAATTCCATTCCCCACAAAAATCAGGTGCATTAGTGTAAGTGAGTAATCCCAGCAAGGGGAGGTGGAGACAGATGGATTCCTGCAGCTCATTGGTCAGCATGGCGGAGACAGATGGTGGATTCCTGGAGCTCATTGACCAACTAGCTTAGCCAAGTCAACCAGTTTTAGGTTTATCAGTAAGAGATGTTGTCTCAAAAAGGTGGAGAGCAATTGAGGAAGACACTCAGCATCAACCTCTGACCTACACAACACACACACACATACACACAAACATGCACACACACACACTGCACACACGCGCGCACACACTGCGTGCACACAGCACACACTACGCATACACACTGCACACACACTACACACTGCACACTGCACACACCACACACACACACTGCGTGCACCTGAGCGCACGCACGCACCCCAAAGAAGAAAAAAGCTTTTGATGGAAGAATGACGCAATCAGACATGTTTCAGAGCATCTCTTTGGCTAGCAGAGAACAGGGTGGGCATCAGTGCAGTGACTGGGGTGAGGGGAAGATGTCTAAGGGAGTGCTGGGATGGGTTTCATCTGTACACATTTTGAAGTCAGGGACAATGGATTTGTTGGTCTGCAGTGTGAAGAGAATGATGATAGGTGGCATCTGCCTGAGCAGTCTGAAGGGAGAAAGCTGCCCTCTCCGCCGTGGAGTAGACGGGAGTGTGTGGAGGATAGTGTAGGGTGGGAGCCAGAGTTTGATTTGGGGACAAGCTTTTTTGTCTTGGCATTTTGAGGCAAAGTTTCGTGCAGGTTGGCTTCAAACTCCTTATTTAGCTGAGGAACTCCTGAATCTCCTGCCTCCAGGTTCCAAGTGCTGAGATTATGCAGGCGTGTGCTGCCATGCTCAGCTTTAAGATGTGCTCATTGTGGCAGTTAACCATTGGACTGGAGGCAACATGTGCCAGCCATAGTGGAGTACAGCTAAGAAACCAAGACTGCAGGACCCTGCCTAGGTAACATCTACACACAAGTGATGGTCATTTAAAAACATTATTTTATTTATTTAGCTTGGCTGTGATCATCCACAGACCCTCATGGAGAGAGAAGTCAGAGCCCAGGCCTGTGAGTGTGTGGAGGCTGGTTAATGGTGTGGAGCGCAGCTGGAGAGGCAGAGAGAGGTGGAGTCAGAGAGTCTGCTGGTCTAGTACCTAGGTCAGCAGAGCCAGATGTGGAGTGCTGGGCCTGAACACAGAGCTCGACCAGGTTGAAGATGAAACTAGAGGAGAGGAATCAGAAATACTAATCTGGGCAACTTTCAAACTGTTGGTTCCGGGAAAAGTTTTAAAAAGCAGGCAGAGGGTCCGGTCAGAGGGAGAGCAGAGCCTATTGTGGGCTTTGCCCCCAGCAGTGGGAAAAAAAACACAGCATGTTGTGGGCTGATGAGGAGGACATAGCGGAGAGGGGGAGATTGGCCCTGCAGGAGAGGAGGGAATCTGGGACAGTGACACTGAGTGTAAAGAGGGGGAGTCAGACCAAGAGGAAGCCCACACACAACTCATCAGGCTATCCTCCCCCTGTTCTTGTGGCCATGAAGACTTTATCAGCCTCCTCAAGGAGGTAAGGGGTTAGCGATGGAGGGCATGGGAAGGATGCATGGAAGAGACAGGACCCCCACGGACCCTGATGGACCTGAAAGATTTGGTGAGCAGAGAGGACATGGCAGGCGTAAGGTACTAAATGAGCCAAAAGCCCGTCTGTGGTTCTGAATGAGCTAGGCTGATTTTTCTATCTTTTGGGAGGGATGGTGGCTTGCATTCTTTTGTTAGGCCGGTGCCCCTCAGCAGAGAGACCTGTGTTCTTCACAGACAGTTAACAAAGGATAAGCAACTTGGATAGAGGCGAGTGGAGAATCAGCCCATAAAAGAGCTTTTGGGCCTGGACCTTCCGTATTTCCCCATTTATGCCTGCCAGCCCAGTGCTTGTTTCTGTGCCCCGCTGCCTCACCCCCTTCTGCAGCTCCGCGATCTTTACTCTGGGCCAGGGGTAAAAGCAGGGACGGTGGGGAGGGTGGCCCCTGCTCCCTCAGAACGCTGCTCCTTAGTTGGATCATGAATCTTGCCATGGTGGGTGCAGAGGGAAGAGATCCCCTTTGTAGGGCCGACCACACCCGGTGGTATTGTTCTAGCCTCTGCAGACGTCTGCTTACACAGATGGAATGGTAGTAAGCGAGAGACTGGCGTGGACACTGCTTGTGTCCCTTCTTATCTTGGGCCTGGAGTCTATGCCAAGGCTCCGATCTCCGCAGACTCATTTTGGGTGATGGCCACAGCTCCAGATAGCCTTGGCTGTCTCTGGAATTCGAGATAAATCTTTTTCTCCCTCCCCCACCCCATCCCTTTCTTTGCTATTCAAACAAAAAATCAGCCGGGCAGGACTGGAGAGATGACTCAGTGGTTAAGAGCATATACTGCTGTTACGGAGGACCCAAGACTGGTTCCTGTACCAAGGTTTTCCTTGGGCTACCAACCAGCTCACAAATCATGACAGGGAGACTTACTAGTTTTGAATGCTTGACCTTTGCTTAGCTCTTTTCTGGATAGCTCTTAGCTGAAATTAACCCATTTCTCTTCATCTACCTTTTGCCCCAGGGGGTTTTACTCTTCTTACCTTGTATTTTCACTGCTTCTTATGTCTGTCTGTCAGTGGTTGCCTGACTTCTTGCCCCGGTGCCGTCCTCGTTCTCTCTTCCTCTCAGTCCTAGAGTTCTCCTATTTATTCTCTCTGCCCGCCAGCCTCCCCTATCCTTTCTCTGCCTAACTATTGACCATTCAGCTCTTTATTAGACCAATCAGGTGCCTTAGTCAGGTAAGGTGAAACAGATGAAACACATCTTTTCATAATCAAACAAATGTAGCATAAGCAAATGTAATACATCTTTGCCTAGTTAAAATAATACTTTGTAACAGGTTCCTAGCATCCATGTTGGGTGGCCTGTAAGTCTAGCTCCCTCTTCTGGCATCTGCTGGTACTTGCACTCATATGTACATAGCCCCACAAAGAAAGACATACACATATATACATTAAAAAAATCTTTTAAAAACCCTTATCAATAGGCTGGAGAGATGGGTCAGCACTTAAGAATACTGCTCTTCCAGAGGACCTGAGTTCAATCCCCAGCACCCATATAGCAGCTCACAACTGTCTGTACCTCCAGTCTCATGGGATACAACACCCTCTTCTAGCCTCTCTGGGCACCTCTTTGCACTTTGGTGCAAAGACCTACATACAGGAGAAACACCAATACACATTAAAAATGAAACAAAACAAAAAACTCTGTCAGCCATATCCCTGTGAGTTCCATTAGCATAAAACAAAACAAAACAAAAAACCAACCAACCAACCAAACAAACAAACAAAAAAAAACCCCAACAGTTATCAGAGCTTTAAGAATAGTAGTGATTTGTGTCAGGCAGTAGTCCTAGCACTTAGGAAACTGGGGGATCTTTATGAGTTCCAGTTCAGGCTCCAAAGCTACCGAGAAACTCTGTCTCAAAACCAAACAAAAAACCAAGCAAAAACAAAACCAAAAACCAAATAAAAAACAAAGAAAATAGCGATTTTTAACTTAATTTTTAATTGACAACAAAAATTTGAATGTTTTTGATGAATATACTGTTATAAGGCTAAATTACACTAGTTCTGTATGTCACTTCACATGGTTATTTGTGGTGAGAACATTTAGTTCTTTTGGCAGTTTTCAAGTATACAGTGCTGTGTTAGCTGTAGTCATCGGGGTCATCGGGATGTACACAGCCCTTGCCCATTCCTCCTAACTCAAATGTATGTTTTTGGCTGATTCTTCCCCATTCCTTCTTCCGCCTTCCCTCTCCCTTTCTTCCTGACTACACTCAGTTAGCTGATCGAGGCTGTAAACTTGGGTCACAGTTTGACCCAATCCCGCCTGTCTATTAGCTGGCACATGGTTGGTGGCACTTTGAAAGTGTTGGAAGGTTATAAGACAGTATATTTAGTAAATGTGGACCACGGTCATTTTTCTGGAAGCTTCTGCTAATTCCTAGACATGCACTGAGCCCCACCTATACTAGGTTCTGTGTCAGGCCCCAGAGCACCCCCCCCACCCAGAGCAGAAGGACCCCCTGTCCTTTTCTCTGTCCTGGAACTGGGAGAGAGGCTTCTGTGTGGTAATTGCAAGGACAGGGGCAGTCTGCCCAGTCTGCCAGGTCCCCATGCCACATCTCTCCTTTTTCAATAGCTGGGGGTTGGCATCAGGGGCAGGGTCCAGAGTAGTGAAGCCTGTTCAGGCTCTGCCAGGGACTGCAGGCCCCCTGGGACCTGAGTTGTAAGCAGTAGACAAAAAGCCTATGACAAAAGGCCTGTGGGAGCCTGGATGAATAGATTAACGAGCTCTCCATACGGAGGCCCCACAATGGGATTCTCCACTGAGGCCTTTTGTCCCAGGCTGAGATAATGGAGCTGGAGGAGGCTTGCCCAGAAGGGGGCATCAGCCCTCCTCCACTACAGCTGAGCTGAGTGGGGTCCAGACGCCCCTTCTGTACTATACCCCACCCCCAGGGTAATGGAATCTGGAGCCATTGGATTTCTGAGGTCTGAAGGGGCTTATGGAGAATGGAGAGAGGTGCTGACACTGTGTCCGTACAACTCTGTCTAAATCGTGCCACTTAATTTCTAAAGCAGCCCTTTAGGATTTTAGTGAAATGTTTGGGCTCCTCCCATGGCGCCAATAGTTACTGACAGTGTGTAAAGCATAGAGAGTCGAGCAGCTGGCTGGTGGCTACACAGTGACAGCGTGGGGTCTGCTGGTTAAGCTGTCAAAGCTTGGGCCAGGCCTGGGGCACCGGGACAGGACCGTGGGGCGCTGTGCGGCAGGGAGGCAGTGCGGGTCTAAGGCTGGTCGTGAGGGCTGAATCACTTCTTTGCAATCCTGAACTTCCTGGAAATGAGGAGTGGGGTTGTAGGAGGAACTTTATTCTTATTTCAGTAGCTCTGTAACCTCTGATTGCCATATCCCCGTGTATGACAAGAGGGCACTTTACCCAGAGTCCCGGCTGCCACTAGGGCAAGCCACAAAACCCAGCCAAGGGACTGTCGGTTAGCTCTGGTCCACGAGCAGTTGTGTGACTGTGTATACACAGGGGAAGGGACAGCCTTTTTGGGGCTGCTTGACTAGGAGGATACAAATTCCCCATGAGGTCTAAAGACCAAATCCACAGTTCTGGGAAACAACTATGTCTACAGAAAAATACTGAAGCCATTTTCTTGGGCTATGACTCCCTCCTCAGGCTGAAGGACAAAAGGGCTTGGAGACAGGCACTGCAGGAAGATGTCAAGGGCCAGAGTTTTGACTCCTATCCGTTGTGGAGCAGCTGTGTGATCTTGGAGAGGTAGGGCTCTCTCTGCATCTCCGTCTCCTGTAGGTTGGAGCAACAACACAGGGGAAGCACAGAGCAGGGGTCTATGAAATGGCATGAGGACCGTCTTGTCCTGTCCTGCTGGAAGGAGTCTTCTAGCCAGCTCCTTGCCCCAGCCCTCAGTCAAGTGACCTGTTCAGCCACTGAGTCAGAGAAGGGGACTACTTGGGACTTATAGTTTTTACTGCTTTGCATACATCATTTTACATCCTTAATCCTCTTATTATTATGTCCTTTAACCTGGAGAAAATGAGGTTCCATGAGGTTGGGTAGTCTGCTCAGGGTCCCCTGTAAGTGTCTGAAGGTGTCTGTGAAGCAGGTCCCCCTGATTCAGGGCTCCACTCTTGCCCAAGTCCTGGAGTTCCTCACCCCTGACTCTGCTGACCCAGAGCTTATGGGATAGAGTGAGTTGGGAGGGAGGGGGAAGGTTGACTGTGTGGGAGTATTAAGGGCTGGTAGGGAGGAGAGAGTTAGTGATCTCCATCCACCGAAGGCCAGGCTGGTGTGGCCTGGTCTGTGAGGAAGCAGCTGGGACCATTCTTCGGTGTGTATACAGCCCAACTCTTGCTGGGGACCCACACTCTCAAGGGCACATAGACCTAAAGCTGTACATACTCTTGCAGTCTGGTGTGCCTCCAGGATCCTTTCTGCTACCATTTTAAACCTGAAAGCAGATTGTGGAGCCTGGCCTCCCTCCCCTTTTTGTTTGGGCCCAGGCCTTAGGCACTGAGATTCAGATTCAGATCAGATCTTTCAGATCAGGTCTTTCCCCTCCCTAGGCTTGAGGGAAATGCCGTGTTCCAGAACTCAGCTTAGCAGAAGTTGCCAGAGGCGTGGCTCCTTGCCACACCTAAAGGACATGGGGCAGATCATGGTCACCACACGTACACAAGTTACCAAAAGAAGAGGCGCAGAGCCAGGCTGGCAGCTAGTGGGGACTCAGGGTCAAGGGAGGTCATTTTGGAGATGTGATGGATGAGTTACACTCACGGTGGGGAGGAGGTGGTATGCAACAGTTGGGTTGGACTGAAGGGGTTAGACTAGATCCTGTGTTGGGTCAAGATGGGGATCTACAGCTGAGGTGGGTGGGCTATCAGGTTTTTGGCCCACAAGGTGTATACAGATGCAGGTAAAGGTGGCTTTATTTTTCCCCTTTCCTGGCTAAAATGGAAAGACTGTGATCTAAAGTGTCTGAGGAGATAAGGCAGTGATTAAGTAGTATGGGGTGGCATGCCAGACATCAGGTCCCCTATAAAGAGGGCTGACTTTTTCAGAAAAGAGTGAGAATCAGGCTCAGAAGACAAGTCAAAGTGGAAATGGACTCCTGGGCCCATAATCTGATGAATGATTCCCAGGGGTACCTGGTGAAGGCTTAAGATTGCCTGGCAATCGGGCAGTGGTGGACCACACCCTTAATCCCAGCACTCGGGAGGCAGAGGCAAGCGGATCTCTGTGAGTTCAAGGCTGGGCTGGACCGATAGCCTCCCAAACAATACAGAGAAACCCTGTCTCATAAAACCAATAAATAAATAAATAAATAAAATAAAATAAAATAAAAAGATTGCCTGGCAAGGGAGAAGGAAACTCATAGAGACAAGTTCAGGCCTGGGCCTTATTGCGCCCTTCTCCTTCTGCAGGGTTAGTGTACTCAAGGGGACACAGTCTCCAGGGTCACAACTTTGTTCTGTATTGATGATCAAGGAGCCAGAGCACAGGTGATAGTAAATTGGGGTGGACCCTGGGTTTGATGTAGTAAAATGACATTTGCATTTGTGTAAATGATGCCACTTCCTGTGACCCCATCGTTGGATAAATTGTGACTTGATATCCCAGGAAACTGCCCCTTTGTCGCCTGATAATGGCTCTCATCTTTGAAAACCCCTTAGCAGGAGCTGGGAATCTGAACCCGTTTCCCTCACCTCTGTTTGTTCTTCCTTCGGGCTGCTGGCACTCCCAGAACTATCACCCTCCTCTTAAGTGCTAGTGCATAGCGCATGCCTTTTCTAGGTGGACCTGCAGGCCTTTTGGGCACAAGGTTGATTGATAGAGATGTAGGTAAAAGTGAAAATGGGGTCATTTCATTTTCTACGACTGTTTTTTGCTATGAGTCAAGTCACAGCCACAAAAGCAGTGAGAATGACCAGTCACTGCCAGTATGGATGTCTGTGCAGAACTGCACAGCCCTCTGCACACACACCCCGTCACTCCAGAATCCGTATTTCCCGGTCCTCTCTATACTATAGGCTCAGAGTGTGTAGTTTTGTAGGTGTGCACTGTACAAGAGCCTGGTGTAACTCTGTAGGCTGTGACATGTCTCCAGCAGGTGGCAGTAAAGTGACCGGCCGTGGTTTGCTCGACTTTGTGCTGCTAAAGCTGGTGTTAAACTCTAGGGGTTTGTCTGAGTGCAAGGACTGCAGGTGTGCATAACTGTGTCTGTCCTGCTAGCCCTGAATGTACTGTTCCTGTCATCCGGAGTGCACTGCTCCCTGTAACTGTTCGAGATGCCATAAAGACCCTAGCTCTTTGGTGAGTCCTTCTCAGCTAGGAGAGCCATGTTCTTCTGAGCCCCAGGGCTCCAGGCATGTTCCTCTGTTTTCTTAGGTCACCAAAGATGCTATTTACTTGACTTCTCCGGCTGGCTGAGCCATCCTAGCCACCCTTTAATCTAGCCCATGCCTCGTAAAGCACATAGCATTGCTCAATACAGTTTTTGCAGAGAAGCTAGAAGCAGTGCTCTGTAGTGTTTACCTGGCCTGCAGGGGCCTTGGGTTCAGTCCCTTGTGCAGCAACACACACACACACACACACACACACACACCACAAGCACATACATACACACAACCCACAAACACACACTCCAATACAAAGTTTGCGGAAGGAAGAAACGGCTAACTTGAGAAATAATCACCACAGAACTTGGGTCTGGGTGTGCCATGGGCTCATTTAGTCTTTGAAATTTTATTCGTCAGTCAGGCTGGCTTATTGGAGCCACATGCCAAGACAGTACTGTTCCTCAGGCCCTGAATCTCTCACCACTTCAGGACTCATGCCTTGATGGGTCCCAGAGGACAGTTTAGGGGCCAGCCTTGGGCCTCTTTGTTTGCTGTTAATGGTACAGAGACACTGAGATATCTCATAGATCTGCTCTGTGACCTATCCACACCAGGAATACTTGTTCCTTTTGAGAACCAGTGCTTTGCAAAGTGAGTCTGATCATACCTCCCTTTTTATTTGGGGACGGGGAAGCTCAGGACAAATTAGGGTCCACTTTTTTTAACCCCTCCAGTGCTGGTGATAGAACCCAGGTTCCTGAGCATGCCGGGCAGTACTTACTGGCCCTGGGATGCACTAATGTGACCAGCATGCTACCCCATGTACCTCAACAAACTATCTGCCCATCCCAAATAATGTTTGTGAGGTGAACGGCTCACTTTGGATGGAGCAGGAAGGAGTACCTGCCCAGACTCTGTAACTATTACAAACAGCAGTTGGCAGGCTTCTAGCTTCTTTAGGCAGAGGTGCAAAGAAATCAAAGGCAGGGAAATAAGTGTTGCTGGGTTAGGAACTGTGGTTTCCAGGGTCGATGGGCAGGATCACACACCGGAGCACAAGGTGAACAGAGCATCTTGGAATGTCTACCTCCTAGCCAGGCGCTCTGGGCCTGCCTCTCTATCTTTACAAACCCTGACACCCCTGCAGTGGCCAGCACATAGTGGGTGAGCAGCAGATATCTGTCACCCACGAGCCTCATATGGTTTAGCTCTTCCCCCAGCCTGACCCTTCCCCCAATAATGACCTTTGCTCCTTAGAGGGGTACAGCTGGTGTGGTGAGAATAACTATAGCCTGATGTGTGCAGTTAGGGCTAACCATGGCATTTCTGGGTTCTTCTTTGTGCCAAGGAAACTATTTAAAAAAAAAAACTAATTCTAGGTCCCAAGGGTGGGAGGGTAGCTTGTCATCTAAGTGTGGGGACCGCGAGTGGGTCCCCAGAGGCACTGCAGGGGCTGACCAGTCACCGCTCTTCTTGCCTGCAGCTCTGTCGAAGATGCACTGGACACCAGAACACGCCCAGCCCCTCAACCAGTGGCCAGAGCAGCATCTGGACGTCTCTTCCACGACCCCATCACCGGCCCACAAATTGGAGATGCCTCCAGGGGGCCGCCAGCGCTGCCACTACGCTTGGGCACACGATGACATCTCCGCCCTCACTGCCTCCAACCTCCTCAAGCGCTACGCTGAAAAGTACTCTGGAGTCCTGGACTCGCCCTACGAGCGCCCCGGCCTGGCCAGCTACAGTGACGCTGCCTTCCTCAACGGTGCCAAAGGGGACCCGGAGCCCTGGCCCACTCCGGAGCCACCTTACCCCTTGGCCTCGCTCCACGAAGGTCTCCCGGGAGCCAAGCCAGCCGGCGGGGGTGGGTCCGCGGGCCTCGGCGGCTCCCCGGTGGTAGCAGGGAACCTGGCTGAGCCGCTGTACACCGGCAATGCGTGCGGGGGCCCGTCGGCGGCCACCGAGTACGCAACGGGCTACGGGGGCGGGTACCTGGCGCCCGGCTACTGCGCGCAGACGAGCGCCGCTCTGGCCCCGCCGCCTCCGGCCGCGCTCCTGCAGCCCGCGCCGCCGCCCGGCTACGGGCCCTCGGCGCCGCTCTACAACTACCCGGCGGCCGGCTACGCAGCGCAGCCCGGCTACGGGGCGCTCCCGCCTCCCGCCGCGCCCGCCGCGACCTACCTGCCATCTGGCCTGGCGGCGCCCACGCCCCTGCCCGCCCCTGCGCCACCCCGGCCCGCGCCCTACGGCTTCCCCGCCGCCGCCACGGCCGCTGCCACCGAGGGCGTGTCGTTGAAGCGCAAGGCGGTGGACGAGGGCGCGGAGGCGCGCTACCGCAAGTACGCTTACGAGCCAGCCAAGGCTCCCGCGGCCGACAGCGCCAACTACCCCGCCGCGGACGACGCCGAGTGTCGGGGCAACGGGTTCCGCGCGAAGCCCCCCGGAGCTACGGAGGAGGGGACAGGCAAGTACGGTGGCGGCGGAGGTGCTCTCAAGGTCCTGGGCTCCCCCGTCTATGGCCCGCAACTCGAGCCCTTTGACAAGTTCCCTCCCGAGCGGGTCCCCGCCACCCGTGGAGGATTCACGGCGCCGTCGGGCGAGCCTCCCAAGGGTGTGGACCCGGGAACCCTGGAACTGGTGACCAGCAAGCTGGTGGACTGCGGACCCCCGGTGCAGTGGGCAGACGTGGCCGGCCAGGGCGCGCTCAAGGCGGCGCTTGAGGAGGAGCTGCTGTGGCCCCTGCTGAGGTCGCCCGCCTGTCCTGGAAGCGCTCGCCCTCCGCGGACCCTGCTGCTCTTTGGGCCCCGCGGCTCCGGCAAAGCGCTGCTGGCCCGCTGCCTCGCCACCCAGCTGGGCGCCACGCTGCTGCGCCTGCGCGGGGCCGGTCTGGCTGCTTCTGGGACCGTCGAGGGCGCGCGCCTCCTGCAAGCGGCCTTCGCTGCTGCGCGCTGCCGCCCGCCCGCGGTGCTGCTCATCAGCGAGCTGGACGCGCTGCTGCCGCCGGCGCGGGACGACGGGGCGTCGCTGAGGGCGCCGCTGTTGGCCTGTCTGGACGGCGGCTGCAGTGCGCGCACCGACGGCGTGCTGGTGGTGGGTACCACCTCGAGGCCCGCGGCCCTGGACGAGGCCACTCGCCGGCGCTTCGCGCTGCGCTTGTATGTGGCTCTGCCCGACGGTGCGGCGCGCGGGCAGATCCTGCAGAGGGCGCTGGCTCAGCAGGGCTGTGCGATGAGCGAGCGGGAGCTGGCCGCCCTGGTGCAGGGCACCCAGGGCTTCTCGGGCGGCGAACTGGGGCAGCTGTGCCAGCAGGCAGCGGCCGAGGCGGGCCTCTCTGGACTGCAGAGGCCCCTTTCCTACAAAGATGTGGAGGCTGCTCTAGCCAAGGTGGGCCCCCGGGCCTCCCCCACGGAGCTGGACTCGCTAGTGGAGTGGGACAAAATGTATGGCTCCGGACACTGAGGGTGGCGTGGGGAAGGCCACCTCCGCCTGAGGCGATGTCCTTGGCCCAAAGAGTAATGAATGTGGGGTGGAAGAGGGGCGCTCTGCCGGTCGATTTGTTTTTCATGGGAAGGAAAATGCTTCTGCCAGGCAGATCGATGCCATATATGCACCGTGTACTCAGGTTTCTCCTATTTATTGTGGATGGGACGTCGGTCATCTCCGCTGGGCAGACCGGGCACACCCGACATGAGCTGGCACCAGGGCCTAGGGAACTCCAGTCCTCTCTCCACAATCCTTTTGTCTGTCTCCTTGCCCTCTGAGCGGCTCACTCCTTTCCCTCCCCCTCCTTTTCCACCTTATCTGTAGTGTTGGCTTAGTTTTCTCCTTTGTCACTGACCATCCTCGTACTGTCCCTGTTCTTTTTGGCTCCTCCCACTGCCCCCCCCCGTACCACCCTTTGTGCTCCTCTGTGTGTAGCTAGCTCTGTGTCCTGGACCCTGGCCTCTCCTCCCTCCCACTGCTCACCACACTGCGGTGTCTCTTGGCAGAGTCACTTCGGCCCAGAGGCTGGGGTCGGGTAGGGAGCCTCACAACCCCTCATACACCACCCACCTGAAATCCTGGGTCTTCGGGGTGGGAACCAGGGGGAAAAACACCCAAAGAAGGGTTTGTTTTGTTTTGTTCGTTTTTGAGGGGAAGTCCCAGAAATGTAGGTTACTTAATATTTTAGGCCTCTTATTTTTGTGAGATGTGTAGGATTTGCTGTTTTTCGTTTTATTTTGACAACTCAGGAAGAAACTGACCTCAGAAAGAATGTTAGACTTTGCCTGCTCTCCTGTTACCCCCAGCCCCACCCCAGGGGAGCAGATTTTCCCAGAGCAGAGAGACTTGGGGCTGATGAGGAACACCAGACATGAGCCCCAGACTGCTGTTCCTGGGATAGAAGCAGAATGTATCTAAGGGCTTCCTCCCCGGGCCCAAGCAAGAGGTGAAGGGGGGCAGGGAGCCCCAGAGGGTGAGTGAGGCTCGCTCCTTTCTCGCCACTCTGTCCTCGGCTCCAGCTTGTCTGTGAAGGCTACAGAGAGCTGGGGTGCTCTTGCCCATGTCCTGCCTCAGAGGTGACCCAGGCGGGAGTTCTCAGGCCGCCTCACTGGATTCCCTCAGGAATGAAGATGGTCTAGCCAGGAGTCTGGCTGGGCGTGCAGTGCAACACTGACTACTAGGAGCCAGGCCACCTGTCCCTCTGGGACCTGTCAGAAAGTTCTGTGGGGTAGTGTGTTTACTTGTTCTCCTGGAGTGTGGGGCCTGGAGGGTACAGGCTGTTTTCCCATGGCAGAGGGACTAGAGCCCTCCTCTTCAAGCCCTATCCCTCCTCCTGTTCGTTCCCTTAATGGGGCATCAGCTGTTTAGCCCTTCAGACTGCTTCACAATGCGACGAAGGGACACTCCCCATTTTTGTCCACCCTTGCCCCCTGCTGCCCCTGCAGTTCCCCTTCACTGTCCGGGTGCCGAGGATGGCATGAGAGCCTCGGCAGGGGCCAGGGTGCTGAGGGCAGGCTCCGGCCTTGCGTGTGAACAGCAAGGCTGCTGTGCCTCCTTCATCCTTGTCCCTGAGCCTGTCTCTGGAGCCAGTCAACTGAAGGCAGGACTCAAAGCAGGTGGCCCAGAGTGCTGCTGCAGAGACCCTCGGTGGGACCATGGAGTAAGGGAGTTCTCTCAGGTCTGGGGGTGGGGTGGGGGGTAGAGGGGCAGGGAGTGGAGCTGGGAACCCAGCTGTCCCTTGGAGCAGCAGCACCTCTATGGAGCTGAACGGAAGTTCGTGGGCCAATCCCCAGGGTCCCCACACTTCCTCTGCTGGGCTCTTTCTGTTCCCAGGCTTGGGAGCTTTGCACAAGAAGACAGCCCCCGGTTGTAGCACCTACCTCATGAGCACAGGGCAAGATGGTAGGGCAGGTCCAGCCCTAGCATTGTGGGGGCGTACCAAAGAATCCAGGGTGGGGAGCAGCATGCCCTGCAGGGGAGGGCACACTGGCCATCCACTCCCTCTGCTAATACTGGGTTGGGATCCTTCAGCTGTAACCATTTCTACCTCATTTTGCTGTGTGTTGTACATGGGCATATTTATCTCCTGTCTGATAATGCTCTGCAGTTGTGGTCTGTCTACCTCAGAAGAGACTGTATTTTAAAAGAAAATATTACACAGTATTAAAGTTATGATGTGTGGCATTCGGAGGACTTCTTGGGGGTTCTGGGATGCGGGAAGGGTTGGCCACTCAGGTTTGTCAGTAACCTGGCTGTGGCTCTGGGTGTTTCTGTTCCTTCAGCAGAAAGTTATGGGACTTTGCTTTTCAGTCCATGCCAGTGGCTGCCCACCGCTGGCCCAAGGTCACATATAAAGAGCCTTCCCTCCTGGCTGACAGACTCTGAAGTATGAGGAGCGGTGAAGTGCGGACATGTTTGTTGAATGAATGCATGAACAAGAGAGGGCTGAAGAGGAAGAGGAGATCTCAGGAGCAGGACAGCAGCCCTGGATGAGGTGAAGGCCAGGTGTGGAGGGCAAGGTGTGGCGGCCACGTGAGGCCCCTCGTCCATTTCCTCACTGTCTTTCAGTCCCAGTTATCTTTGACAGTTCGTGATAAACCGAGAGATGGAAAAATTAGGGACACCGTGGAGCTCTGTGGAGATGCTGGCATCCACTATTCAGGGCCTTGCCTGCCACAGGCCGAGGGAAACAGTGCTGGGCTCCCTCTTGGGATTCACTACAGGCTCATGGGAGGCAAAGCCAGAAGCAGCCCCCAGAGGGACAAATTGGGTATTTCCAGGATTCAAAGAGACCTACCTTTTGGTCCTTGGAAGTCCAGACATGTCCTCCTGCAGTTTATCATGTACCTATTGTATGACAACATTGTGGGAATGCTGAATAAAACCCCCTACCCACACTTCCAAGGACACCCCTGAAAACCCATAGTGGGGACAGTCCTCCAAACAGATCGTATAAATATATAACTAGGAAAAGTAGGTAAGGGAGCTGGGGGTGGATCTTAGGAATCTTCGCACAGCTGGTGCAACTGTTTGATTTTGATACAGTCACTGGAGACTCTGTCGAGCAGACTCCGGTACTTTTAGAAGAGTATTCCAATGAAGAACGCAGGGTTTCTCTCAAGAATGCCCAAGAGGAGCCAGGTGGTGGTGGCGCATGCCTTTAATCCCAGCACTCAGGAGACAGAGGCAGGCGGATCTCTGTAAATTCAAGGCCAGCCTGATTTACATACAGAGTGAGTTCCAGGCCAACTGGTGGCGCTGTTACACAGGGAAACCGTGTCTTGAAAAACAAAACAAAACCCAAAACTAAACAGAATGCCCAAGAGGACTAGGGAGCTGGCTTGGCAGGCAGAATGCTTACCATGTGGGTTTGGAGACCAGAGTTGGATCCCTAGCACCCATGTAAATGCTGGGTTGGTATGTCAGCTCACCTGTAATTCCAGCCTTTGGAAGGCAGAAGTAGGGGATCCTTCAGAGTAAGATGGCTAGCTGGACTAACCCTATCAGTGAACTCTGGATTCAACTGAGAGACCCTGACTTAATGAATAAGGTGGAGAGTGAATGAGCCCATCAGGCTCAGGTCTGTACCAGGACACACACACACAGGTGCCCCCACACCACACACAGACACATGAAAAAAAAATACCTACAAGTGGCAAGTCACGAACCTTCCCAGGAGGGAGGGGTAGAGGTCAGCAAAATATGGAGGTTGGAGAGGGCATTGTTGACATAGTTCATGTTTGTTACAAGAGCAAAAAATGGGGGCAGGAATGGGGAGACCTGAGGTTGGAGGAGTCAGGTGGGATGCTAAGCTACCCTTAAGTAGTCTCTGCATGTGGGTGGACAGATGGCTGTGGACAGGAGACTGCTTCGAAAGAATTCACACTCTGACTCAACAAATCTTTGCCAACACTTACATACTGGTCACTATTGGGGCAATGTGGGGACCTCAGTCTTACGGGTGAGGCAGTAAAAAGGTCTAGCTGCAGTGTTGGGCATGAGTGTGTGTGTGTGTGTGTGTGTGTGTGTGTGTGTACTTAGAGATGGAGCCATGCATGATGTGTGTGAACAATGTGTCTGGCTCCCTGAAGACATGAGATAGTAGGGTTCCACCATGGAGATCAAATTGCCGAACTGTGGGCCAAACCACAGTCAAGTCACCTTGGAAAAGATGTTAGGTAAATGGGGGCCCATGTGTGTGGGGATGGGAGAACCGGGAATCTGCCCAGTCCTGAGAACAGAGGGTTTAGACTAGCAGATGTGAGAACATTCTGGGACAATCTTGACTGGAGAGCGTCTAGAGCATCTGCTACAAGTTGACAGACATGAATTAGTGAGTTTAGATTAGGCACTTGAATAGAAAGCTCGGACTGTCACCCAGTTCCATGGGTTGGGTAACCAGTTCTGGCCCTCCACCGGAGGCTCTTATCTAGATGCTGAGCATTCAGATCGGTGGCCCCCAGGCGGTAGCTGATTTCTTTCTGGCAGGAGCGTTCCACGTTCCACGCATTTCCCTCGCCCCTGCTCCGCCACAATCCCCGGTCTTGCGGCATTCGGAGCCCCTTCCTTAGGCCGAGCCATGGCGTGGGCGCTGTTCCTGGCGCTCTGTAACCGGGCGCTGGCCCCCGTGGACGCGCTGGACGCCATGGGCCCTCATGCAGCAGTCCGCTTGTCGGAGTTGCTGACCCCAGAGGAGTGCAGCCACTTCCGATCGCTCCTCGAGGCGCCAGAGCCTGACCTGGACGCCGAGTTTGCCCGGCTATCTGAGGACCGGCTGGCTCGCCCCGAGCTGCTCACACCCTCTCCAGGAGCGCAGGACACCGTGGGGCAACGGCGGCGGGCGGCAGCTATGCAGCCGTCGGAGGGGTCGGAGGGCGCGCCAGCCGGGTCCAGGGAGGTGTCTGACGGCTGCCGCGAGGCGCTGGCGTCCTGGTTGGCTGCCGAGGCCCCGGCCCTGTCGTGGGACCGCGTGGCCCGGGCCCTACGGCGTAGCGGCCGCCCCGATGTGGCGCGGGAGCTGGCCAAGAACCTCCACCAGCAGGCGACGTTGCAGTTGCGCAGGTCGGGCGCGAACTACGTGCAGCCGCCGTTGGCCCCGGACCCCGCCTCCGCCCCGGACCCCGCCTCGGCCTCGCGCGATCGCCGCGCTGCGGTCCCCGCGCCCTCCTGGGACGACCTAGAGCTGATCGTGGAGCGCTTGCCGCAGCCCCCGTACACGCGAAACCCAGCAGCCTGGATCGGGCCGTTGGCGCTCGGCCTCCTCGCGGGCTTCGTGGGCGCGCTGGGCATTGGGGCGCTGATCACTGTGCTCACGCTGTGGATCACCGGCAGCGACGGCGACCCCGCGCGACCTCACGCCCCCTCCCAGCGCGCTTTCTCCCTGCCCAAGCCGGCCACGGCGGCGTCCCGCCGCTGGGAAACAGAGCCTCTCCTGCCCGGAACCTGGGCGCCAAGGGGACCGTCCCCCAACCAGGGCCGGCAGCTGTGAATCGTGGGTAGCGTGCCCCACGGGGCCCCACTACTATAAAGTTTCCGAAGGACGTAGAGGACGCAGTCTGTGGCTGGTTGGATGAAAATGGGTGGCACGGGCCCCAGGAGCGGGCCCAGAGGTCCCCAGCGCTGCCCAACGTCCCCCCCACCTGCCACACTTTTGGATACCTGTACCCATTCGGTGCCAGGAAGCAGCTCACCATTCCTTACAGGGCGGGGCGCAGTCGGACTCTTGGCCCCAGAGCTATCTGGCAAGTCTGCGCCCCAGAGGCAGGAAGGAGCTCGGGCCCTGCTGGAGTGTGCAGCGCCACTCAGTCACTCCTCAAGGCCTCCCGAAGGCTCAGCGGGGACCTGACACTTTCCCACACACTACTGATGAGCCAAGCCCTGGAGAGTCTATGGCCAGGAAGTCCCAGGGCCAGGGACTTGAGGCGAAAACCGTGACAGAATGACAGGCCAGTCCAAGAGGAGAGTTGAAAACAAGATTGACGTAACCCTTTATTGCAAATTCTAAAGTAAAAAGATGTACAGTACAAAGTAAAATTGAAAATTCAGACTATAAACTTCCAATCCACTTATACATTCTCATTTCTCAAGCATTTCTGCCATTTCCGCATAAACAAAACGGGGGACGAGTCAAGGAGGTAAGGAAGGAGATACAGCAAGGGGGAGAAATTAGAATCACAAACCCCAGAAGCAAGTGCAAGGAAAGACATTTCTCGACCTGCTGTCCTGGTGATGAGAAGCGGGGGAGGGGAGTGAAGCGGTGCAGTTTAAAATGGCTCTCAGAATAGCAGCGTTTATGGTACTAGTTCATCTTCCTCAAGTCCAAAGTATGCTTTGCCCTTCCCTGGCGCCTTGGTCTCTGTATCTCAGAACGCTTTACAAAACATCTAGTTAAAGCCTCACAACACCCCTGTGAGGTAGGTCAGTATTATTACCCCCATTTTACAGATGGGGAAACTGAGGCACAGAGAGGTTAAGTGACTTGCCCAAGGCCACACAGCGAGCCAGTGGTCAAGCTAGGGATGGAACACAGTTCTGTCCCTCTTCTGGAACCACTGGACCACACTCCCCTTTACCTATGTACATTCTTCACACACACACACACACACCACATGTGCACACCTGCCCACTTGGCCCCACTTAGCCTCTATGTACAGCAAACAGCAGTGGGGGCAGGGGCAGGGGCGCCTCAGGAGTGTTTTAACAGAGGAAGCCTTGAGAAGTGGATCCAGGCTGTACTAGTCATGGTGCAAGTCTTGGCCTCACACCCAGACTTCCTCTTCTCCCGATGCCCCCACCCCCACCCCTCACTGACTGGTGGCAGCTGATTCTTTACGGGGTGGGGGGGAAGTACCTGAAAATGAACGAAGCTTTTTGCAAAACTTTGGGCAACATCTGAGAAAAGAAAGAGGCATCGTTAGGGAAGACACCCAGGACTCAAGTCACTGAGTCCTAACCCTCCACAGAAGGCCTGGAGGTTGGAGCTGAGGGACAGGGACGGGAACTGACCTACCAGCCATCTCTCTCCAGTTCCGCTACTAGTGTGGGCACCTCAAGACCCTCCTGAGTGTCCCTAGACCAGGAGACACGGCCTGGAGAGGGATGTCCCCGAGGGGTGTCCCCTCCCCTGCTCAAGCGTGAAGGGGACAGCCCCAGTCTGGGATTATGCGAGTGGATGGAGGGCGTGGCCCGGCACTAGCTAGTGGAGGGGAAACTGCTGGGCAGCGTACTTGCACTAGCTTCCGGGGGGGTGGGGTGGGGTAGGTTTTTCTTAAGTCATTTCCATGAACAAGGCAGAAGTAAGGCCAGACCAGCTGGGTTGGTTGAGGTCATCTCTGGGGGCTGTGCTGGGGGGAGACAGCCGAGGGAGGGATCCAGCCTAAGGGGTATTGCCAAATGCAGTGACAGCAGGGACCTGGGGGTGGGGACCTGGCTTTTCTCTGCAGTCTCTACCTAGCTCTGGTCTCCTCTTCCCAATGCTCCAGGGTCCCAGTTCCCAGACCCCTCCCAGAACTCGAGAATGGGCAAGTCAAACAGACACACACCAAGACAGGCTTCCCTTGTGTGGTAAAAAGGGTCATTTTTATTGTTTCCTTTTGGCTTATAGTAATTGACTTTTTAAAAATCACGTCTCGTTTAGTGCAGCGTTGGCCCCCATGCATCCACTAACGCTCTATTGGTCTTTTACAGTTTACATTGGTTGTGGAGACAAAAACGAAAGAAGCCCTTTGGGCGCAGCAGCTCCAGGGGCCCTGGTGGGAGCTTGCTTCTCTCTGCCCACAGCTTCAGATGCCCGAGCGTGTCCAGACGGTGAGAGCAGGCCGCACGGACCTGAACATTTCCCTGCTCTCACCCTCTGCTCTGCTTCCAGTCTCCTCACCCGAAGCCACAGGGAAGTTGAGGAAGAGGGGGTGTTTTCACATAACCAGCAGTCATGGTGGCTACTGCTCAGGGGCTTTGGCTCTGCGTATTTAAATGAACAGCATCACATGACTTTTCGCTTCTTGTCTTTTTATTTTTAAAGGAGGACTGTGGAATATAAATACTGCACCAAGGACCCGGCTACAAAAAATAAATATTTATATTTATATATCTATACATATATGTGCAGTGGCACTGGCTGCTGCTGCTGCTCTTTGATTGATGGGCTTCGTGAATATTTGGCAAAGCGTTGTCACTTGCTCACTCTGTAAGGACGCGAAACAGAACAAAACGAAACCAACCCCAAACTGCCATATCCGATTCTTCACTTTCAATGCCTGTTAACTGCGGGTCTGAACTGCTGGTGATGGTGTGGTTTACAAGAGTGTGGAGCAGGATGGCAGGAGAGCAAGGGAGGGGAGGGGTGGCTGGGCAGGGGAGTGAGGGGTGACAGGTGGAGAGGTCTAATCAGTGGGCTGAGGTGGCTTCTTCCCCGGAAGCTCTGGGAGGGTGTGAGAGACAGGAGGGAGGTGACAGCCCGCCGGGCTGGGTCAGGATATCTAGGCTCCAGTAGCTTAACAACATTACTAGCATGGCGCTTGGTGTTCTTAGCAGGATCAAATAGCTGTTGCCCATCTCAAGATCTAAGATCAATGATTAAGTTTAGCCAAATCTTGCATAGAAGTGGTTAGAATTTATTGCACATTGGAACAAAAATATATATATTTTTTGTTGTTTTGGAAAAAACCATTAGCAATAAAAAATTTTTTGTCTGTCTGTCTGGTTGGGGTGTACATTGGCTGACAGCATCTGGTTCTAAGAAGAAAGGAAAGTATAAAAAATAAAAATAAACATGACAATGGCATAAGCCAGAAGCCATTTCCTATTTAATAAGTTAGTAATTTGTATTTACAAAAAGGCATGCCAATAAAATAAAATTATATATTACAGTATTTATAATTCTCTGAAAAAGAATAACCACACACGTCAGCTTCTGTTTTGTGCTGTTTACGACGTCGCCTGTACGTGGTTCTCTACATTCGTCCTAGCAGTAGTGGCACCGACGCACTTCCCCAGCTGGTCTCGGCAAGCTGAGGACAGCTGGACAGTGTCACCGGTCCAACAAGAGAGAAAGCTCTGCTCACTGACTGGCTGTGGTTTGTCCTATGCAAAACTAGTCAAGTGGACTGTGGGATTACATCCAAAGTGCTTCTACTGCAAGGCAGATTGGTCTAATGTATCTGGTGTGGATGGCTCGCTTCCCTCTACCCTATGCTCAGGAAGGATGATGTTGACTTGGTTCCGAGAGACTTTCTGACACCCAAGTGGGGCATCTTGGCTTTGGAACCTTGTGGTCAGGTGAGACACCCTGAACTAAGAGCTGTTTTCTGTAAAGCCAGAGATGGAATGGAAGGTATGGTGCTCTCCCAGAAGCCACCCCCCCCACCCCACAACAGTGGGCAGGCCACTAAGCAGATAGCAAGGTGGACAGAAAGAATGCCAGGGAAGCTGCAACCCCTGAAAGAATTAATACAGAGTCCCTTTCTCACAAAAGCCAGTGCCCTAACAAGACCATGAGGCTCCACCTCTGCCTCAGGCCCTGCTAGTGACCGTTACTCTGAAGACCACAAGCCTTAGAGCTCACAGCCATACCCCAAGCAACACTGCTGCCCGAACCCAGGCCTGCACAGCTGGGGAGGGAAGTCCTGCTGGCTGGAGGGATGTGATGGAGGCAGGAAGAACCAGCAGATGGGAGCGTGTGACAATCCCTCTGCAGGCTCAGAGTACCTGAACCCCTTTCCACATCTACTTGAACCTGAGAAAAGCCACAATGCAGACAGACATGATACCAGATGAAGTGAGCACCCCATAACCCCCAGAGAAAGGTTTCTGTAAGTCCCCCCAAAGGCCTCCTAGAGATAACATGCTACTATGAATAAGTAGCACTTTTATCTCTACCCCAAGTGTCAGTTCTCCAGGATGAAGGCTAAACAATCATTATAATATTGCAAGATACAAATGAACTCTTTTTCTATTTTGTTTTGTTTTTTTTTTTTAGCCCTAGGATTTGGTTTTACAGTGACATTAATAGTACAAGCCATTCGGGGCCAAAGTCTCCCCATGTACTGGACAGAGCAGCATTAGATAGTTTACCTTGCAAAATGTGCAACAATGGCTGTATGTTGAGATGTCTGTTAAACATGTACACACAACGGATCCATCTGCTTGTTGGGTTGGATTGTTTCTGTTGGTGGTGGTGGTCAATTGGTTAGTTATGTTTCCCTACCCGGAGGTGTATGAAAGACTTCTAAGAACTCAGAAAAAATTGCAGCCGGTATGGAACTCTTACCATTTCTCCAAATACAGTGAACGGTGCAGGGCTGGGTCCCGTCCAAAGGCTGACCCAATGCAGGGGACAGGATTAATAGTGTCTTGTGGTGTATGGATCTCATGCATGACTCCTGATCACAGCATGCCATCATGCAAATCATTTCTACGCATTGAACGAGCACAATATTTGGAATTGGCCTGAGCAAGTCCTCCTCAGCCTGAAAAAACCTGATTGTTTCCCCCACCCATCTCCAAACCACGTGACGCCCATGTGGAGAAGATGCTGTTTATGTCAAAGAAATAGACAATTAGTGACGTAGGTTGAATATGTGTGTGTGTGTGTGTATTTCTTTTTGCTGCTTAGCTTAACTAATGTAAGAATGCAAATATTGTTTGCATGAACAAACAAACTTTTAAAGGGATGCTCTCTGCTTCTGAGGATCAACAAATGAAAAAATAAAATCCGTTTGGCTGCGATGGATATCTGCTGGTCCCGGCAGCCGCCTCTGTTTTGTATCCTGTTGTGTAGTCCTAAGTTGCATTGACTGAGTGTGGAACATGCAGTAACCACCGGCCCAAGCGATAGAAAATCTTGAGTCCAGGGGGCAGGGTCCTTTGCCCTCGGCAGGTCACTGCACAAGATGCAACCGTGTCACATGTAAGCAGACTATGTTTGGTATAGGTCTTCCAGTACACGTCTCCCTCCACAGCTGCTC